CATAATGTAAAGTAAAGTAATGTAGCATAATGTAAAGTAATGTAACATAATGTAAAGTAATGTACCATAATGTAAAGTAATGTAACATAATGTAAAGTAATTTAACATAATGTAATGTAAAACAATGTAAAGTAACATTCTTATTTGCAAGCAGTCATGACACCGTTGGATTCAAAAGTCTGAAATGTTCTTTGTAATTTGCACAGGTAAGCCAAATGTTCTTTGGAAACAATGACATCATAGACTTATTTATTTTTACCTGTTTTATGACACAATAAACATTATCATTGTAGTTATTGATTGATTTGTACGGCATAAAATAAATTCCTTCTATTAGGAAAAACTTTTTGCACATCAACAAAAACTGACAGCTGGATTTAAACCCTCAAGGCATCACTGACTGTTTCATTTAACCTGACTGTACTTTTAAAGTTTCTTCTTTAAATAATGATTTTGTTCTGTTTCCAAAGCATTTAATTCATGTTGCTTTATATTGATATTCTTCTCTGTATTCTAGGTTAAATAATTCAAGAATATCTTACTTTTCTTACATGTCACGTGAGCGTCAAGTTTGTTTGAAATCTAAACTACGTACTTTTAAAACTGTACTGTTTATTAAAAGAATCACAAAAGAGTGAAATACTCTATCTAAAGGCTCTATCAGACTTTAGCTATTACAGTTTTTTTATTTTATTTTGCAGGATTATGTGATGTTTATATTCTTTGTGTCTGTTTGCAATGGAATTACTGGAAGAAACGCGATTTGCGCTTCACAAGAAGCAATGCAGTGAAAGAATTTAGTTGCATGCAGGTGCGTACACCTGTTAACACCCCGAGGAACAAACACTTACCCTCTCATACTCCCCGTCAGACAAGTGTAATCAGTGCCTTCATGATAAATACGCACGCTCCTCTATGCCAAGTCTCCTTCCAGAAGCTCGTTTCAAGCATTAAGGTGTAACAAGCGTGGAAGTGAAGAAGGGGCTGGAGGAAATTATATTTATCTATTAAAGTTATAGAGCTAAACTTTCAGCCTCTGAAAGAGTTTTTGTGACTCACAGAGGGGAAATCACATCAACAAAGCACAAGATGCAAGATGAAAAATAGCTGTGAACTCTGCAAGTCACGGTGATTCTACACAGTTTAGGAAGATTTTAAGATGGATGAAGTTGTTTTAAAAGCAGTCGTTTATGGAAAGACAAGTTCGTGCATCACGCCAGTCAGAACAAACATGGGTTTGCTTAAAGAACACATTAAGCTCTCAGTTTGCTTTTATTCATTAAGGCTTTTACAGAGTCTGGTTCGTGCAAAGGTGAACAGTCAAACGTTGCGTTGCTGTGGAGAGTTTGTACAGGAATGTTTTGGTTTTGAGGAGACATCCTTTTTATAAAAAAAGGCTCCAGTATTCCTCCAGCTGCAGCTTTTCGCTCCATCTTCTGGTTAGCTCTGATACAACAAGACAAGCTGTTGCTTCAGTCGTTAAAGACTGAACTCCTCATCAAGTTTTGACTGCACTAAATCTAACATCAAACTCATCTCTTCTTTTAATCAAATTCTTATTAAAAGAAAGACTTATCATTAGATCTGCTTTAAAGGCACAAAAATAAAGCAGGTGACCTTCAGTGTTGTCATCTTTTCAGCTACTGGAAACAATGACTCATCGATTCCTCGCATGATTTGCATCTGCTTTTGAAAGATGATTTATTTTTTTTAAATGTCCGCTGACTTCAAACAGTAGCTCACGCCCTTCTATGACCAACCTTTGTTTTTTCCACTGCTTCTATTCTACGAACACGACTGCTGACGTGGTGCACTGTCCCCTACTGCCTTGTTGCAAAGGCACAACGAGAACAGGACACATACCATACTGGTTAGTCAGGACTGCACAGCCAAAATAGATCATGGGATGGGTGGAACAAAAGTCATTGCTAATTTGATCGGGATGAAAAGGGAATACCAATATTAAGAGTTAGAAGGGATTATGTAGGTTTGAGAAAAAAAAATGTCTGTGTGACTAATTCCATAAGCAGTCTGATTAGCTTACTATATAAAATGGTCAAAAACACACCAAATATATATTTTAAAATATTAACATTTTTATTTTCATTAATTATTTACTTATATCCAGGACATGCCTTTATTTAAGAACAGAGGAGATGAGTATGGTCTGAGAAGAAAATATATTTTTACGAAATGCTACGCTCGTACAACTTTAAAGAATATGTGCATTTAATTTCGTGGCGTGACTGAAAAGGTTTAGACAATGAAATCCAAGGAAGCAGATCTGTTGGTCAGTTTAAGAAAATGTTTGAAAACAATATATTCTCAGGCTATAAGATAAGATAAGATAAGATAAGATAAGATAAGATAAGATAAGATAAGAACTTTATTGATCCAGCAGGAAATTGTTGTGCCAGAGTTTTTGTACAAAGGAACACACACAAGAATCGCACAAGATATAAAAATAACAGAATATAAAAATACCAACATTAAGTTCTAAAACAGGAGCAGACAGAAAGATTAAAGTGTTTATTGTTGTGCAGGATTAATTTTATTGTCCTATGTGTGGAAAAGGGGGCGGAGTTAAAAAGTTTGATATCCACAGGGAGGAAGGACTTCCTGTGTTGTTCTGTGGAGCACCTCGGTGTCTCAGTGTACGACTGAAGGTGCTGCAGTGAGTCCAGGGTGTCATGCAGGGGGTGTGACGTGTTGTTCAGGATCTGGAGCAGTTTCCTCCTCATCCTCTGCTCAGACACCTCTGTCAGAGACTGCAGGTCCACTCCCAGAACTGAACCAGCTCTCTTCATGAGTTTATCGAGTCTGTTGACATCAGCTTTCTTCACCCTGCTGCCCCAGCACACCACAGCGTGGAAGAAGATGCTGGAGACCACCGAGTGGTAAAACATCTGCAGCATGGTCCTGCAGATGTTAAAGGACCTGAGTCTCCTCAGAAGAAAAAGTCGACTCTGTACTTTCTTGTAGAGGGTGTTGGTGTTAGCTGTCCAGTCCAATTTAATGTCTAGGTGGACCCCCTGGTACTTGTAGCAGTCCACAGTGTCCACCTTAGTACCCTTAATGTTGATAGTGTTGGAGGAACTGGTTTTCTTTCTGTAGTCCACCTGCAGCTCTTTAGTTTTTCCATCGTTGAGTTGCAGGTGGTTCTGTCCACACCACTCCACAAAGCTGTCCACCACACCTTGAAAAATGAGTCCATGCATTCATTACAACCCGGCTGGACTACTGTAACTCCCTTTATGCTGGTGTCGGTCAGGCTTCGCTTTCACGTCTCCAGCTTGTCCAAAATGTTGCAGCTCGGCTGTTAAGAGGAGCTCACAGGTTTGAGCACATTTCATGGGTTCTGTCCTCCCTTCACTGGCTTCCTGTGCGTGTCAGAATTGATTTTAAGATTCTCCTGCTGACATACAAGTGTGTTAATGGCCTTGCACCCTCATACCTCTCTGACTTTCTTCATCCTTATGCTCCTTCTGGGCCTTGAGATCATCGGACCAGCTGCTTTTGGTGGTACCAAAATCCAGGTTGAAGCTCAGAGGAGATCGGGCGTTTTCAGTCATGGGCCTTAAACTCTGGAACAACCTGCCCCTCAACATTCGACAGGCCACCTCAGTCTCTGATTTTAAAAGTCTCCTCAAAACACACCTGTACTCATTGACTTTTCACACAGTGTGATCTGATTTAGTATTTCATTGCTGCTGATTGTGTTTATGCTTTTGGCTTTTATTCCTTTACATTTAACACAGGGCGATATGATTTATTATTTCATTGTTTCTAATCATGTTTCATGTATTTATGCTTTTATTCCTGATGCTGTGATTATATCCTGTTATTTTTATTTAATGCCGTGATGTTTTTGTATAGCACTTTGGTAACAGTTCCTGTTTTCAATGTGCTATACAAATAAATTTGACGTGACTTGGTACTTCTGTGTTCAGCTTCAGTGATGCAGCCCACAATGGCAGTCATCTGAGAACTTCTGCAGATGGCAGGATTATGAGTTGTACCTGAAGTCCGAGATGTGAAATCTATCATCTATCGTCAAGTCTAGGGTTTGGGGCAGAGTGTAAATGGTAATATGGCTAAGTAAGTGTTTAATAATGCATTGTTGTAAAGACATCATACTGAAATGAATTGTAGATTTTGAAATGAAAGAGGTCTATGTCCCACTCCTTTTCAAACATTTTGTTTGATTATCACATTGTTGCAATGCAGCTTTTGTCTGATTTGTTATTGTGAAATGCATGAAATAGTTTAAAAAAATTCAATATTCAGGGCTGTTTTGTGTTATTAGTTTAATTTTAGACTGACTTTTTCTTCGCTGGCGCATCTAAGGTTCTCAAATCAACTCTAGCTCAATAGCACAACTTAGTGGTCATATCTGGTACTGCAGAAAAAAGTCTGAATATCGGGAAACATGAACGAATAAATTTAAAACGTACTTCACACAGGAACATATTTTCTTAAATAGTTTAATCCTTTTTGTTAGACGTAAGTAAAACGCGGGGAAAGATAATGGCTGGATGGATGGACATTGATAAGGTCGTCTATTTGTGCGTCAGTATATGACGTCATGCCGCAGCCCCGCCTCGAAGCAGGTGTTTCAACCCGGAAGTGAGAGGCTACTCCAGAAGATGGTGTCTTTGTTAAAGTAGAGCTTGAATAAAAAATAAAAAAAAGCGATAGGTACTTTAAATCAAAGCGAAAGCAACATGATAAATAAAGTAAATGATAGTTAAATGCGTAATTACTGCGAAAAACAAGTGAACTGTCCTTGAAGGGAAGCGACATGGACAACAGCGGCGGGTCCTACACGGTGAGACAACTTCACTGTTGTTTGGTGCTTTGGTTTTAGTAGCCGGTTTAAAAATATTTCAAATAAATGTGTATTTGATTATTTAAAATTAGCTGTACACTCAGGTTTAGAACGCTTTTACCTGCCTTCTTAGCAAAGCTACATATTTATGTTGTCACTTTATGAGCTACTAACTTTCCTTTTCAGGACAATCTTATTGGGACTTTGCTGGCAATTTTTGGAAACGTCATCATCAGCATCGCCTTAAGCATCCAGGTACTGTTATTGTCCTCAAAAAGGCCCAATATAAAACACAGAATGCAACTCTTTCTCTTCAGTTATTGCTTTGTGTCAACATGTCTCCATGATCTGAATGACTCCTCAGGGATGGGCTGGTTTCACAAGTTATGTCATCATCCCTTGTGTGTTCCTTCTTCTTCTATACAGCCTTACAATGTGGTTAAAGCCTCCTTTACAAGTCTTTGAGCACTAATTTATGTCCCTGTTGGGTTTTGCCTGCAGAAATACAGCCATGTGAAGCTAGCAGGAACTAAGGACCGTGTCTTCTACCAGACAAAAACCTGGTGGTCTGGTTTTGTCTTCATCTGTCTTGGGGAGGGAGCCAATTTTGTGTCTTATGCCTTTGCCCCTCTCGCCATTGTAGCACCTCTTAACACTGTGTCCATCCTAAGTGAGTATTTGTCCTACGTTCGATGAATGGCGCAAAGCAAACTCGGAGAAAATCGACTTTGCGTATCTTTATGGTTTTCAGCAAGCTCCATCCTGGGCTTCATATTCCTGCGTGAGAAATATAAAGCGAAGGAGTTTGTGAGTAAGTTTGAAAAACCCCATACGGCTGAAGATGTGCAGCTGCACCGACATTTATACAAATAATCTAGATCTTGTGCCTTTTTGTGTAAATTGTTCTACTCTTAAAGACCAACAAGACAAAGAGTCTGTCGAGTGACGTCTTTGTTCTTTCAGAGCAGCATGGGCTCACCTTCCTGGGTTACGGCTTCACCATAGGAGGAACTTACCTGTTTGTATCGTTTGGACCAAACTCTCATGAAAAACTCGAAGCAACAAACATCGTGAAACATATCGTAGGCTGGCCTGTTCTCTTGTATTTGGTAAGATATTTTGTTTCAACACACAAAAAGCAGGATATTTAATATCTGAGCAGTTCTGTTGGATCTTCTGGCACTTAAAATAATCCATGCTTAATCTCTAGCTTTTATTCTCACCCACTGCTGTCTGTTAAGAAAATAACTCTTGCGCCACTGGGCACATTTAAATAAAACAATCTTTGAATGTACAGCCACAACTAAATAACTTTTAAAATCAACTTGGTTCAAGATAAGCCTTTTCTTTAAGGACTGTTGTGTCTTAAAAGTTTTGTGATGTTTTGTTGTTGTCCTGCCAGCTCCTGGGCATCATCACATTCGCCCTGTTCTTATACTTCTACAAGCAGCACAATGCTAACTACCTTGTTGTTATCCTGCTGCTGGTCGCGTTGCTGGGTGAGTCTCCTGCATTCAAACTTTCACACGTAAGTCAGTATATAACAAGAAACTGCATTTCCTGCAAAAAATGCAGTGTGAATGCTTATTGCAGAAGAACTTGCTGAAAAACAGCTGAAATGATCTAAAAACAGTTGCAATGTAGCTGAAATGGAAGAACAAGCCCAATTTAACAAAATAAAGCAGAAAGAACACATATTTGCTGAAATAGGTTTAAATAAGCAGAAATGACCACAAAGTTTAAAAAAGGCTTAAAAAACTGACATTAGCATAAAACAGCTATAAATAGTAGCTGAAATAGCTGAAAATTATGAAACTAGCAGAAATAAGTTGAAAGGAGTATAAGAAGCTGAAATTAGCAGAAAGAAGTTAATTAGGCTGAAAGTATCTGAAATTACCACCAAAAACTTGAATTTATCTGAAAACAGCTGAAATTAGTTTTAAAAAAAGTAGCTGAAAAGGTAGAACAAGCTTAAATAGGCGGAGAAAGCAGAAAATAAAACTTATGTTTGCCCAAATAGGCTGAAAGAAGCAGAAAAAAGTGGAAATTATCATTAAAAAGCCGAAAATGGCAACAAAACAAACAAGCAACAAAAAAACCCGGCTGAAAAGTAACTTAAATTACCAGAGGGAAGTGGAGAGAGCACTTTTTTGCTGAACTGGGCTGAAAAATGTTGAAATTAGAGCAAAACAGTATAATTAACTGCAAAGTCTAAAATTAGCACAAAACAGCTCCATAGTAGCTGAAATAAATGAAACCAGCAAAAACAGCTGAAAGGAGCATAACGAGCAGAAATTAGCAGAAGAAGCACAAAATGATGTAGTTAGCAGAAAGAATCTGAAAGGAGCACAAAACAGCCGAAAGAACAGCTGAAAGTAGCTGAAAAAAGTTAAAATTTGCACAAAAAAGAATCGGAACCAGAACAAAATGTGAAAGCAGCAGTAAAAGTTTGTAAACGCATCTAAAGATTGAAAGGATGTAAAATGAGCTCAGTTCATTTTCTGTGAGGAAAAAATGTCAGAAAAGGCTAAATATTTCAAAAAGCTAAAGTTGCACCAATACCAAAAGTCGTAGCGGGATTGTCCAGAAAGAGCTGAACGTTTTGATTCACGATTTGTTGAACTGGATGAAAACTGTGGGACGAGAGTCATGCCAAAAAATGTGTGGAATAAAAATGTCTCACAATAGAGTGAACGCCTCATAAACACTGACACTATTATATTTTATCGCAGTAAATTGAAGCCTTTTGAAGTCCAAAGTGACTAAAACATTTTCCGTGGTGTTTGTTGCTGCTGGGATCCAGGCTCGGTCACGGTCATCACAGTGAAGGCCGTTTCAGGCATGCTGGTTCTCACCCTGGAGGGCTCCATGCAGCTCGACTACCCGATCTTCAGCGTCATGTTCGTCTGCATGGTGGCGTCGGTCGTCTTCCAGGCCAGGTGAGTGAAAATGCACACGGACAGGAAGGTTTTTCACTCACTTGTGCAGGTGATCAGTGTTTAGTGTGTTTGTCGTCTTAGATTTCTTTCCCAAGCGTCCAAACTGCACGACTCCTCTCAGGTTGCCTGTCTCAACTACATCCTGTCCACCATATTTGCTGTGGGAGCTGGTGAGTTCAGCTTTCTCTGTCACTAAATGTCTCTGTTGCCTTGTTTTGTTTCAGAGAAGGAACAAAAAGACAATCTCTGCGATTAATTACAAGAAGCAAGAAACGTAAGAGGCTTAATGAAAATGCTCCTCCGTTTCTGTTTGATTTGCAGGAGCTGTGTTTTATTTGGAGTTTAAGAAGGATGACGTCCTTCACATCTGCGTGTTTCTGTTGGGGTGAGGAATCGTACGTCACGGGGACGTTTTGACGCGTTGCTGCAGGAAAACGTTGAGCTGTAACAGCGACGAGGCCAGATTTAGTTTGAATCCCACGTTTCCTGCGTTCTGCCGTTTCTCCCGCTGCCTTGAAAACCACCAAACCACTGTTGACGCGCACGTCGTATTCAAGATGCGTTTAAAAACGGAGTGATGTTTGTTTGTTTTTTCTTTGTACAGATGTGCGTTGTGTTTCCTCGGAGTGTTCCTCATAACCAAAACCAGAAGAAGGAACAAGCTCTTCGAGCCGTACGTCACCATGGATATGACTAACGGTTTGTATAAACTGAGATTTATTCAAGTTGTGTGAGTTTTAAATGATCGTCAAGAGTCAGATCAGTTGTTTTCAGCCTCTGTTCCACGTTCAGGCGTCCCGACGATTCATGACAAGGGCCTGGTTGTTCAGCCGGACTTTAATGGTTCTTTCTCCTACGGGGCTCTCGTCAACAACGATGGAGTGGCGCCTGCTGCTCTACCAGCAAACCTGGGGCAACCTGCGGTCACCGAGAGGACGTCGGATCCATCTCATGGCCAGACTGAGCTAAAGAAAGATTGAAGCTCCGCCCCCATCACACCGTCCAGCTACACCACTGACTCTTACGCTTTAATTCTTGTAACACTTTAATGAAAACCACTGAACCAAAACATGAACTGAAGAAGGTTTCTTGTTTTAAAGACGCGTATGAGTAAACAGAACTTTAGTGCTGGTTTAGATTTAAGGATGATTTTGTTTATGATGAGTCCTGTCTTGAAACGGTTCCTCCTCCTCCAGCCTCCGGGAGAGTTCAGTCCTAGCAGGAAACGAAACACGAAGCTGCTTCAGAATGGACTCGGAGCGAATGGACTGGTGTATGTTTTACTGCAAAGCGTGCCTACTGTGCTTCCATGTGTGGCGTACGTTTTGAAGCTGCTTTAGACCAGTTCAAATGTACCAAGAACTGACTGGAAGTCCTAAAACCAGAATGAAGAATCTCAGTGTTGCACCTTTTTTTTTTTTATTTGTTTGTGTACATTTTTCTTCGATGCATTCAATAACAGGTCACTTTCTCAACAACCAAAAAAAAAAAAAATCAGGTGTTACTGAGTATAACTAGTTATCTGTTCTCCCATTCAATATTGTTTTTACTTTTAAAACCTTTAAAAGTAAAAGTAGCTGCAGAGCTTTTGAGATTTGCCAATAACACTGCCTCCACCTTCGTCACACATGAACTGTTTGACTTCGCTGCCTCTTGTTCTTTGGATTTTACCGTACGGTTCCTTCATGTGACCAAATGTTTGTTTGAACTTATTGTAACACGTTTGTCCTGATGTGCTTTTAACGTGCCTCAAACGGGAGCTTTACTCTGCAGATTATAGAAAGACTGCGTGACGCAAGGAGACGTTTGATAAACAGGCAGCAAACTAATCTGTCGGTGTGGGTTTCACTGCGTAAACTGTATTAAGTGTTAACAAAATGGAGCTATAGAAAGGCTAAATGACCGTTAAACACGTTTGATATTAATTTATATGGCCTGTTTGCAACTTTTGCATCAATGTATAAACCAGCTGAGGTCAACCATGTTAATAAATCTACCTTTTTGTGCCGACACCTGTTTATTTTTTCCATTGTAAATGATCAGCAGTTCCTTGTTATGAAGTTCCCAGAGGCCAGTTATGATTGAATGGTTCTGCTTCTCAAATGGTTTTCAGCTCCTGTACGGAGCATCAAAATGTTTCGGGGCCTAAAACGTCCCATAATCCAAAAATGCAGGCAGGCGTGTGCAGTTAAAAGTCCTCAGTAACGGCGAATATTCTGTTGGAATTGAGCTTCGTACAAAGACGGTTTAACTTCAGAAGTAAACTAAGTGATTTTATGTGTTTTGCATGGGAAGGGATTCAGACACCTAAAGGACTTGCTGCATAAAATATCTTGCATGTATAAACTTTGCTGCTCCAGATGCACATCATATTAAAGTGCATGCAAACGGGATGTTTGTGGTAAACTTACAGATGTGGAACTTCTGGAAGTGCTTTATATTGGTATGCACACAAATGCAACAAGATGGCTGGCAATTTAAGGAGAAAATGTAAATGCTCCACCTTTTTTTTTTTTTTTTCCTGCCTGTCCAGAATTTACAAAATGCTTTTTGTGTTTCAGTCACACTTTCTGTTAAATATTGTACGTTATACATTTTACATTCTGATTTTTGCATGTTCTCTCTGTGTATGTGTGTTTTCTTCAGATAATCTGATGTATAGGATGAAGAAGGCCTCTCCTGACCATGACCTCTGACCCTTTGTTCAATTCTGAACTGGTTTTCTTTAAAGTTACTTTTGACCTGAATAATGTCTCTGCACATTTACGGTCCTACAACACTTAATTACTTACATCTAACAAAGTTAAGTCAGGTCTTTTAACTAACTATGGGCTACTTTTAGCTAGCTGCCCTGAGATGTGAGCCTGTTTGCAGGAAAGCGCTGAGTGTTTACGTCACTTCGCAGCTTCATCGTCACCAATCTTGAGCCGGAGTCCCCGCCCTCTCTGCCTTCTGATTGGTCGCCTGGAGGCTTTGCCCTCTTTTGATTGGCTCCAACTGCGGCTGCTAACGCTGCGATAGGCTGCATCAGGTTAGCGATAATCCAGTGGAAAAAACAAACAAAACGCATCTGACAGCAAACCTATAAAATATATTATTAATAATAACAATAACATAATCGCTATTTTTTTTCATTCAAACAGTGAAAAGTATCATCAGACCTGTTTTCAGTGGAGAGTTTGGGACGCTTCCTGACAGCAGTGTGGTGAGTAATGATCACAGACATTATTTATTTGCATCTGAACCCGAGAGAGAAATTAAAGCAGCAACTTCACCTGTAGGACGAGAAAGCGCCGTGAACTCTGGGTAGAAATATCAGCTGTAAAATTATATTTACCTCGGGAAACAAAGTGTTTCCAGAACAGCTCCAACTCCGAGCGTCTGCATCAAAATATGTCATGATGGGATTAATGTAACTGCATGACACGCATTTGTCTGCAAGTATCCTTTGAAACAGCCATGTTCTTTAATTATGTTGCTATAATTGCTTCATTTGACCAGGATAACTAGTTAAATAGATAGACAATAACTCACTTTTTGTTGTTCCTAAACTCGCTTTATTTTCACGTTTGTGACCTTTAAAATATTAAAAACATCATTAAACAGATTCACCACTAGATGGCGCTCTGCTCTTTTTGATGAGCCAAAACCTCACCAGCCCTTTTCTTTCATAGCCCTTTTTAAATAGTCAGCAACTAATGCTTTATTTAACATTTATCTATTGCCTATTGCTTAATTTATTTATATAAATTCTTTAGATCTTCTGTGATGGTTATATTGACATCCTAAGATGTAGGTCTTTATACGTTTTAAAGGATCTGCCCGTACAGTATTACACTTTGTAATAAAATGAAAGAAGCCACATTAAAACAAACACTTATTTTAAAGATTTACAAAGATTTTTGGGGGGGGGGAACAAACAACATTAAAAATAATAATAATAATTCTGATTATCCATCAACAAACTCGTACAAACTAAAGGCACATTAACAGAAACTACAATAGATCACAAATCCTTTCACTCTTGTTGAATGAGTGTTTTAATTGACTGAATGCCGAGTCAGCATTCACACCACTGTGTTCCTGTGTGTCCATTCTTCTTCTTCTTCTTTTTTAATCAAACTATTTCCAAATAGTTTGTGCTATTTTAACTGATCAGGAATCAACACATTCAGCTCGGCTGGGAACAGACTGGAATCTTTTGGTTTTAGTAACTTTCAGAATGTTTAACTTTATTTAAAATAAAATTCCCCATAAAAAAACATCTTTCAGATCTCTTTAGTTCCTTCAAAAACATTATTTCCTCATTGAAATCTGCTTCATCTTATTGCTCCATTTGTTAAATCTTTTTATTCTACCTTTAGCTTTCAGTTGTCATTCTGCTACATTTTTTAGCTACAAATTTGCTATTTTTAGCTATTGGTTACCATTTTGCTTTGGTAGATTGTAGCTGCACTTTGGACCTTTTTAACTACTGCTTTGCTGATTAGAGTTTTACCAAATGTGTTGCTAATTTTAGCTTTAGTATCCGTTTTGCTACTTTCAGCTTGCTACTTTCAGTGTTACCCTCCATTTTGCTCCTTTTGATTAATGTTTTGCTACTTTTATTTACACGTTTGCTCATTTTGGCATGTGTTTGCTACCTTGAGCTACTGTGTAGTAATTTTAACTGATTTTATCTTCATTGTTTTGGCTAATATTACTTATTATTCTGTTATGTTTAGCTACTGTTCTGCTGTTTCTAGCTTTTATCCTTTACCTTGTGTTTTGCTCATTTTCACTTGTATTTTGCTCATTTTGGCTTGTTTTGCACATTTTAGCTTGTTTTGCTCATTTTCACTTGCTCATTTCACCTTGTGTTTTGCTCATTTTATCGTGTGTTTTGCTCTTTTTCACTTGTGTTTTGCTCATTTTAGCTTGTTGTGCTCATTTTCGCTTGTATTTTGCTCATTGTAGCTTGTTTTGCTCATTTTAGCTTGTTGTGCTCATTTTCGCTTGTATTTTGCTCATTGTAGCTTGTTTTGCTCATTTTCGCTTGTGTTTTACACATTTTAACGTGTGTTTTGCTCATTTTAGCATGTGTTTTGCTCCTTTTTACTTATGTTTAGCTCATTTAGCTTGTTTTGCTCATTTTAGCTTGTTTTGCTCATTTTAGCTTGTGTTTTGCTAATTTTCGCTTGTGTTTTGCTAATTTTCGCTTGTGTTTTCCTAATTTTCGCTTGTGTTTTGCTCTTTTTTACTTGTATTTTGCTCATTTTAGGTTGTTGTGCTCATTTTTGCTTGTGTTTTGCTCATTTTTACTAGTGTTTAGCTCATTTAGCTTGTTTTGCTCATTTTAGCTTGTGTTCTGCTCATTTTCGCTTGTGTTTTACTCATTTTAGGATGTATTTTGCTCATATTTGCTTGTGTTTTGCTCATTTTTACTTGTGTTTTGCTCATTTTAGATTGTGTTCTGCTTGTTTTAATCTTTCCATCCCAGTTTTGGCTTCATCAGAAGATTTTAGCCCTCATACATGCTGAAATTTTGCCCCCCACCAAAGGTAATTTCTCTAATTAGATCACTATAAGGGTCTTTATTGCCTCTCTTTTACATCCTGTGCATCATCCGTACCAACACGTGGTGAAACTCTTCTCAGTCCAGTGTTTCACCACTTCTTATTTTTGTTCTTTTCCACCCTGTATTGTCATCTTATCTTCTAACTGTCCATCTTTAATTCCTCTCTCCCTTTAGTTCTCAGCCTCCACCGTCCCTCCTGCCTCGGCAGCATCCTGAACCCTGAGATGCTGCGGGACACCTCGAAGGCGTGGAGCAACAGCTCTGAGGCGTACAGCAGCGACCCCGAGGATGATGATGAAGAAGAGGACATGGTGTTTGGAGAGAGCGATCAGGACGGCGTGGCGGAGGAGATGATGGACCTGAGTGACCTTCCCACAGCCCTGTTTGCCTGCAGCGTGCACGAAGCTGTGTTTGAGCAGGACACACACAGGGTGAGACGCCACGACTTCACTCTGCTGAGTCTTTACACATCGCCCACCACCAAGGGTGGAAGGGCGATAATGTATTTGTCCAGGTCGGTGCAAGTGTGCCTTCATTTGTCTGTGGTGTTAGCAAAATATCTCTTGAATCACCAGACAGGTGTTTTTGAGACATTTTTGAAAGTAATTGTTGAATATACATCTACCGCTGATTACTTCTGGAGTCAACCAGTCAAGATGGCCGCCACAGTGAAGTTATATTAAAGTAGCTAAAGTCAGCCAGCTTTACAGCTGCAGAGCTTAAATTTATTGTGGTCATAGCTGAGAGTCATTCCCAACACGTACCCAGAGCACAAAATGATCACATGAGGTCTAGCTCTGCAACTACTGTTGAAGTCAACTATATTTTCTGTTAGTAAAATATCTCATTAGGATAGTAGGATGATCAATAATCTGTTGCCCTGGCATTCAACCATGTTTTTAATTTTCTGTTCATCTTACGGTAGATCATGTTCCATGTTCCCCGACGCAAAGACAAATGAATTTATGTACTAATTTAACTACTGATAGTGACCCTCCAAACTTAACATCCAGTAATAATTTGGTTTTTCATTCCTTTGAGCCACAAAATGACAACGTTTATAATACCCGTTTCAATCCTGATTTATTCTTTTCATCAGAATACTCTTCAGTAGACCTAAACACCTATGACAGAAACCACTCTAATATGTATGATCCTTCTACATGTAATGATTTGAATGAAAATCAGTTCAGTTCTTTCATTGCATCGTGTAAAATGTCCAACACCTTAACATAAGAACTCTTTCAAAAAACTACGATCACTTTTACCATTATCCTGCATCACTGAACCACATGTTCACAATAACTGCGTTGAGCGAAACTTGGCTAAATGATGAAATCCATTCACTGTTTAATATTGATGGTTGTGCACCTGTTCACCGATGTCGAGGAAGTCGAGGAGGAGGAGTCTCTGTTCAAAAGGACCATGAATTCAAACGAAGACCTCATTTTGAAGAAGTTTCATGGGTGTAATACAGAATGTGGTTTTTTTGAGGTTCAATCTATGAAAAGAAAATTGATTGTAGGGTGTATCTACCGTCCTCCTAATATAGACATAAACAACTTCAAAGAATGTCTTACAGATATCGTAGAACTTGTTGCTAAAGAGGGTAAACTTTATTTATTAGGTGACTTCAATGTCAACCTCTTGAATGAGAACAAACATCACATAGATGACCTTACAGATATTTTGTCTTCAAATTATTTTTATCCCCTCATTTTTAAACCCACTAGAATAACTCCTCAGTCCTCGACATCGATGGACAATATTTTTGCTAATGCATTGACTGATGTTATAAAATCTGGTATTCTTTATACTGATATTTCACACCACCTTCCTGTTTTTCAGTTTTCTTCCATAATTAACAAGCAGTCCACAAATAAATCAAAGAGAGTTTATTTTAGAAATTTCAATGAAAGTAACATGAACAACTTCTCAGATATACTAGCAAACATGTCTTGGGAAACAGTGTATGAAGTTTCTGGCGTGACTGTGACCTATAAAATATTTTCTGCAAAATTTCATTCCGTTTTTGACAAATGTTTTCCTCTGATTTCTAAAGGTAAAGGAAGTTCTGTAAAATTTAACAAACCACGGTTTACTACAGATTTGCACAACAGAGAGCAAATTGTAATTTTTAATGGTAAATTGTCACAGCGGGATGTCCTAAAATGTGGAGTTCCACAAGGATCCATTTTGGGTCCATTATTGTTTCTCATATACGTTAATAATCTACCAAAACTTAGGAAATCGGTTTTAAAGAAAAATAAGCTCTATAAAAGATATTTGCAAAACCCAAGTCTTTTAAATTTAGCAACATACAAAAAGCATATAATTATAATCACCTCGTTAGAAATACTAAACAAAATTACTATAGCGATCTATTTACTCAATCATCAAATAATTCAAAAACTACATGGGATAATTAAAAAGTACTACTCAACAAGAACAATGCCTCTACCCCATCCCAGGCTACATTTCAGGATGGCACTTCAATCACAACAGATCCATCACAAATGACAAATAAATTTAATCATTTTTTTTTATAAATGTGGGACCACACCTTGCAAAGAATATTGACAATGTTTCTGATTCTCCTTCTAATTTCATAAATGAAAATTATCCCTCTTTCAATATATTTGATCCAATAAAACCTTTAGAAGTACTTGATACCATTAAGAATGTTAAAAACTCTTCGCTAGCCACGATGAAATTACAGCCTGGTATCAAAAAAGTTGCACCTATAATTGTTGCTCCGTTAACATTTATATTTGCCCTGTCACTTGAATCTGGTATTGTCCCACAAGATCTAAAACTTCCACGGTCATCCCGCTGTTTAAAGCTGATGACACATCTGTATTTTCAAATTATCGCACCACATCAGTTCTCCCGTGCTTTTCTAAGATACTTGAGAGATCGGTGTACGCTATGATCTTGATGCCAACAATATTTTGTATGAGCATCAGTATGGCTTCAGAAAGAATTGCTCTACATATATGGCTCTCTTGCATCTTAGAGAAAAGATTTCAACTGTTTTTGAGAAAAATGAATATGCTCTAGGAATTTTCTTGGACTTATCAAAAGCTTTTGACACTGTGGATTATGAAATCTTGTTATCAAAAATGTCTTGTTATGGTTTTAAAAATAAGGTTCTGAAATGGGTTGAAAATTATTTGCACAACAGAGAGCAAATTGTAATTTTTAATGGTAAATTGTCGGGATGTCCTAAAATGTGGAGTTCCACAAGGATCCATTTTGGGTCCGTTATTGTTTCTCATATACATTAACGATCTACCAAAAGCATCTAGTATTCTGACACCGATCTTATTTGCTGATGACACCAATCTTTTTGTTGCTGATGGTAACTTTGACTCACTTATTGATAAGGCAAATTATGGGCTCCTTCAATTTGCTCAGTGGTTTTATTTAAATAGACAATCACTTAATGTTAAAAAAATCTAATTTCATCTTATTTAAGAATAAGAATAAAAATTACAATCCAGAAAAAAAACAAAAATTATATTAATAACAATTTACTTTCTAATATTTCGTCAACAAAAAAAGTTTTTAGATGTCTATATTGATGAGAAACTTTGTTTTAAGAATCGCTGTGAATCGGTGTATAAGAAGATTTCACAATCGTTAGGTATTATAAAACGGTTAAACCATATTTAAAAACAAGTACTTTATTGACTTTGTACAATAGTTTAATTTATCCCCATATTTCTTACTGTAATTTAATTTGGGCTATCCTTCTTACGTGCAGTTAATCCATAAAGTTCAAAAATATTTTGTAAGAATTGTCACTAACTCTCCATATTTAGCTCCATCCACACCTCTCTTTAAAAAAGAGATTCTTATTATTATTATTCATACTCTACAAGAAGGAGGTATGATTTACACATCCCCTTCTGCACAACCACTAAATGTTCATTCGTGCATCAGGGTGCTGTGGAACAGTTTAAAACAATTAGGTGAATCATGTACAACATTATCTGTATTTAAAAGAAAGTTTAAACAAACTTTGTAGATTTTTTTTTTAATTGATCATTTTATTATTTTTTGACCATTTAAATTTATTTAATATAAACTATTATCTTTTGCCTTGGTGTGTAATTGTGTGTGTTTAAAGTAAGATGTAAGCTTATGTATAAAGCATTTATGATTTTTTTCTTTATGTTTTTAAAAAGGCTTGTAAGCCCAACTAGTGTTTTTATGACCTCGCCTGCACATTTTTTTTTAAATCTTTTTTTTTTATGTGTGTTGTTTCTTTTTGTGCAAACAAATAAACAAACAAACATTAGACAATACATATTTTAATCGAACATTCAGTGACTAGTGGGTGTCAGTCTACAGCTGATTGACTTTTGGAGTCTATTTAAGTCAAGATGGCTGCCGCAGCTAATTTACCTGAGCCAACACGAAACTGGCTCCAAGTCAGTAAATGTACAGATGCTGAGCTAAAGTTTGGTGTGGTAGTAGCTGAAGGTCATCCTAAAAGCATGGCTGGAGCACCAACAAGTCAAGTCAACTTTATTTATAACGCGCATTTAAAACAGCAGCTGTTACTAAAGTTGGTTATTTTATTTTATTTATTTATTTAAACCTTTATTTTACCAGGAAGATATCCACTGAGATGATTAATCTCTTTTACAAGGATGTCCTGGGCGATATGCAAATACAGCAACACAGTCTTAAGAACTCAAACAGTGGTATTGACATATTTACAGCAGAACATCCGTTAATAAAACATAAAATATAACGCCAGTTAAAAGAAAAAAAAAAAAATCATAATTTAAAGACTTGAACATTTACAGGTGCAAGACTAAAACCTCAGACCGTTTTTGTTTAAAACTAGATAAAAGATAAAAGACTCCAACCTCAGATTGACAGCAGCTTAAAACAGCAAAGTGCTTTAACAATAAAAATGACTGGGAGTAATTTAATGGAGAAAATTAAATTAACGTAATGACAGTACTGTACTGAAAGACAATTAAAAGCATAAAAAAAGCACATCATATGAGATTTTACGTCACACGTTTAACGTCATTTATAAGATTTGACCAAAACAGCTGTTTGATCCCTCTCATAAGATGATTTTCATAAAAAAAAAAAACAAAAAAAAAAACACGCCAACAATGTTTTAGCTTCAAGTGCTTCTCTTTTGTTAAAACCTCCCTCGCACCTGATGCAGTTGTGGTTTTAGTTGCTTTATTTTAAAAGCAGCATGAGAACAGGTCGGTGGATTAGACCCAGACTTTCAGAATCCCGAGCCATACTTGGCCCTGATCCGTGTGTCTGTGCATTTCATTCTCTCATCACCTCGTGCAGCACGTTATTCACGCCCAATTAGGCTTCGGCCGAAGATTTCCCAGCAGGCTTCAGCACGCAGACATGTTGCAGACAGAACCACGTGTGTGCCTGTGTGCTT